TGAAACAAGCATGTAAAGGTGTGTTTGAAGGCAAATTGATACAACTTTGTGATTATTAAAAGGGAGACAATACCAAGTGGTTGATACAAAACAAAGCTGGAATTCTGCCGGTTAAATTTAGCTACCATTCTCTGTGAAGAGGAAACTATGGCTGGTGACCTGGTTGTAGTTAATGATAGCGAGAGAACCAGATGAAAATCGGGGTGTACTAACTCCCTCGTCCTTTTTATACAATTAAAATTTGTCATGACCTCGCTACTCTTCAGGTTACTCTGTGTGGGGCTTCTGCTCTCAAACCGTACCTAATGGCTCTGTTTAGCCACGCTAATCTAGTTATTCATTTTTCTTCAACATGTACTGTAACTTTTCACCACTTCTCTAGATGATGCCTTTCTCATTTTTCTGAGGGAACTAATTACATGAATACATACTTGTGAAAGTGCAATAATACTGAGTTTAAGTATGCTGTCTTGGCTATTCCTACATTTGTCTTATGCTTTTTGTCTTTTGATTAGCCTTTCCATGATATCTGTAGAAACATTAAAAATATTTTTTATTCAGGTTGTCTGTAGTAGTTGTATGTTCTTTGACTTGTGAAGTCACAACAAACGTTCAGAACTCTTCTAGTATTTAAAAAAATTACTGTTTTGACTTCATTTTGAGGTCCATTGATACATACTTCTGAAATCAGTGCTGAGGAAATAATACATTTACATCAGATATCTTTGCTATTTTTCCTACAAAATGAGAATATTGCAGCTTTCTGAAGTGAGTTCGTACTACAGTCTCCAGTTTTTCATTACTTAGCCCAGGGCATTTTACAAAACCTTGGCTAAATACCTTCTTTCTGCCTTGTGCTATCCAATTTATTGAGGTTTAAGGTTCATCAAGAAATGAGGAAAAGCTGCATTAATAGCACTGTGTTGTAATTCATGGTTAAAGGGTACGTGACGACAGGCTTGTGTGTTGAAGTCTCGATCAGTCATTGTCTGTAAAACCTATTTCCATGTCTGAGCACTACGAAAAGAAATTCTTTCAGTGAACTGATTTATCGCCATTTTCTAGATTATGCTGTTTTCAGAAAAGATGATTTAATAGTCCTACATCTCAGTGAATTTGTCTGCTTAGTCAAATTGACTGATAAGGGAGGAAAAAAGGCAAATAAGAAAGGAAATAATGAAATCAGAGGTGCTATGTTTAAAACAACAATGAACCAAGGGAACCTTACGGATGGAGGCTTGAAAACCAGGATTAACATGAAAAGGTAAAATTAATTGGGATGCAGTAGTTTTGCATTTGAAAATCTAAAACTGTTGAAAGCTTAAATTTTGCAGCAGATTTATCTCTGTGCTCTGCTGCTTACATCTTTGATTGTGGTAAAATAAAATTTGAACCTCAAAAGCTGACTCAGCTTTATTTGCAGGTATACTTAACTGTAATATTTAGGTTGCTTGCTAAAGGAAGGCAGATGTGAGTTTTGAATATATTCAACCGCTTGGGTGGCTTAGTGGTTTTACGTCCCTGAAGGCCCAAATAATTGCATAGTACGTGCAGCAGAGGAACTAGCCCTACAAGCTGAACAAGCAGTAGCAGTTTGGTAGCTAGCTTTGGGTTGGTGCAAGCGCAACGTGCAGGTGTGCCTTTAGGTTTTGGTGTTCTGTAACTGTTATGTGGGTTGTTCTGGTATAATGAACGTTACCGTGTGTGGATTATAGAAATTACAGATCTGAATTCTCAAGCATAGCAAGTAAGCCTTTTATAGATATTACAGGGAAGAATTTTGGAGCATGACATTTTAAAACACTCATTTTTGAAGCTGTGTGGACTGACCTGTATGTTACCATTTCAATCTGACCACATCACATCACGTGGAATGGGCTGAGAAGGCAGCAGATACGGAAATGAGCTGCAGTTGGAGAGGATTTCTAGGGTGATAACTTCTGGGGGATGTAAGAAATGGGTATGATGATGCAGGTGAAACTTGAAACGTCTGGGTGATGCTGAGGGTTAAGGGAGATGGAATGATATGATGCTTGTGGTCCAGAGCATTAATCCTAAAGGAGCACCTGAAGGTCTGGGATGAGGAGAGCAGTCACAGTGCCATTGATCAGGCGTGGTAATGAGTGATGCAGCTTGAGCTTATCTGTGCTGGGCATGGAGTGTTCAGAGGTGCTACCCTGAAGCTGAGGGAAGAATTCACACGCCGTCCCTACGCCTGACTCGAGCCCCTTCACTTCTGTCTCAAATAGCATGTATGCTTTTTTGAATTTGTGTCCAGTAAGAAAGCAGACACAAAATGGTAGTGATTAGGAAATGTTGAGAGATGTTTTTTGTGTATTTTTTTTCCCCCCTGAAAGGAAGGAGCAAAATAGGGAGTGAAAACCATACGTAGTGAATGCCAGCCACGTGCCCTGATGCGTTTCCAGGTACTGGTTGGCTACTGCACTGCTGTGGGACAGGACCACAAAGCAACACAATTTTCAAGTAACAGATAAAAATAAGAGGGCTTTAGTTGAACACAGATGCACTGCATTATTAAATGGCTGTGGTGGAACTTGATCAGTGGAATTAAATACCAGAAAAATAGCCATCATGTATTTATGCTGTTGCTTAGTAGGTCAGAATTTAACATTTATACAGCAAATTTTGTATTTCAGGGTGATGAGGGTCCTCTTCATAGTTTTCAGTAGTGAAAAACCACTTTTATTCTTCAAAAAGGTGTGCTGCTCTGTTGTTGTTATTGGCATTATTGAGAGGCCTTTGTAGGCCCAAGAGATACCTATCCACAGTTTCATCAGGAGTACAGTAAGTACATAAGCTGCTTTGAGCTTATGTGTGGATAACCTTTTGACTCATAGAGTTCTACATGTTGATTTGTATGAAATTTCATTTAGCCACAGATATTTTTTTCAATTTTAAATACACTAACTGAAGTTAGATTTTTTTTTTTTTTTTTAAAAAGCATGTATCATTTAGGTAAATGGAGCTGTAGATAAGGTGGTGCCTTGTTGGCAGGAAGGACAGTTTTCATTACTTTAATTGTGTGATTTGTCAGGATTTTCAGCTTTTTATAAAAGCTGTAGTGTTATATGACAGAATTAAAAGGATTTAGAATAAAAGGAGTTTAAGAAAAAGACTTTGCAACAGGATTTCAATACTTTTTGTATTTGAGGGATTTAGCTAGCTGTTTTTCATTTCAATCATCCTTCTGCATTTTGTTAAACACTGTGTGTGGAGCAGGTGTGTACAACGTCAGCATATCGCACATGCAAATAAACACAATTTTACAAATAAAAATTAATCCACCATAACTTGGAAGATTAAATCCCATCACAGAACTACAAAGGGTTGCTGACTCCATTAAGCATTGCAGAGAACAACACATGTTGCTTTTTGCAATCTCATGAATGGGACAGCTATTAACCTGATTTAATGCCCTGCAGAGTCCTCAAAATAATGATCCTTTTCTGCAGTATTAGTATTTACATTCTGGAAGTATATGTTTGAAAGAGAAAATGGACTTTTTTTTAAATTGGAACCTCAGTCATTACAGACTGAAATCAGAAGTTTAAGCACCTATTGTACAAAGTTTGCAAATCTGTATTGTGGGTATTAAAAACTGGTGTTCCTTTTGATTTTGTGCAGTTGTCTCCCTGTACTCCCTACCACCGTTATTCTCATTGCTCTCCTCCTTTCTTCTTGTTAAACTTACAACTGGACCATAAAGAAACATGAATTCATGTCTCTAATATATCCTAGTTAAAAAAAAAAGAAGCATAGTTAAATGCTTAAGGTAAAATCCTGACTCCACTTAAATCAATGTCAGAACTCCCGGTAGTCAGCATTTCACCCGAATGCTGAGCGACTAGCTAAGTGAACAGAAACAAATGGAGTTCATCTGTTACTTGTATTGAAGAAAACAAATCGGCTGCCAGGTTGTTAAGAAGACTATATGTTTCATTTATCAATTTACAGGTCAGTACATACAGTACAGGTATGACTCATAAAAGACCTCGAAATAATAGGAATAAAAGGAAAATACATTTGTCTGTTTTAAGTTACTTGTAAAGCTATTGTTGATGGTGAAATTATTGATGTGACCTGTTTGACTTGATAAATACCCAAATGTGTAGGAGGGAAGACTTATCCTTCTGTAGATGAGAGTTCTGAACAGTTTTTGTTACAAATTAATTGCATGTACCTCAGTTATTAATAATTAACAGAGACTGCTATGTGAAAATATATATTGTTAATTGTTTTGCCTTTCTGAAGAATTGATTTAGTGCAGCTACACCGTATTTGTGAATTAAATTTTGAACAGACTATATCACTAATATTCTTTGCAGATCAAAGGGTTTGCTGTATAATGGAGAAAAAAAATAATTCCATTATTCACCACATACATACCTACCTATAGATAGATAACTGAAAAGGCAAAGATTGAAAGAAAACGGAGGAAATTTAGTTATGTTGTTGTTGGTTGTTCTTCAGTTCTTTAAGCTGGGTAGAAACAGACCCTGGAATTTATTAAAACGTTCACAAGTAGAAGAGATTTTTTTGGACTAAATTTTACTTTTACTTCTGTTTACATAGGAAAAAGGCAAAGTTTTCACAACTTTTAAAATCACGTTGTAAGAAGTGTGGCATATTTAACAATTTGATGGTTCTGGGATGAAGGTGCGACTGCAGTTTGGGCAGGCGAGAGGCTGGTTTACTCGCCCAGCCCTGGTGCCAGCGGTGGTGTGCACGGTCCCAGGCAGGCAGGGCTCTCTCGGCAGCTGAATCTGGGCAGGGGACGAGCCCGAGCCAAACGGGGCTGCTGGGGCTGATCTGAAAAGTGGGTTGGGTACGGGGTTGGAGTTGTGCTGTCGCTTTGAGTCAACAGCAGGCGTAGCTAGAAGGCTTGAATCGCTTGGTGGTGGCACTTGTTGAAGGCTGGTTTGAACTTAATCTCGTGTGTTCTTAGGCACGGGGCAGGGGCTGTGTGCGTGGCCGTGCTTTGGGCAGCCCAGCCTGTCAGGTGGCGCAGAGTCGCTGCTCTTGCGCGAGGCTCTTACGGTTAACGCTCTGGTGTTCCGCTTCTGCCGCAGCCGAATAAATTGGAAACCAATGTGTGAAACCCACGCAGCGTTGGTGACAGCCTTATTACAGGCAACTTTTATAAAACAATGAAAAGTGAGCAAGTGTTACTTGTTAGAGTTACAGAATCCTTAACCCCAACTGAAATGAATAGAAAATCACTCCAAAATCCTGGGCGGTTTGGCTACTTGTTTTGTTACTCACTGCCATCTCCTCCAAGAACAGTTCTTCAGCGTTCGTGACTATTATTTGTATTTCTAGCCCTAGTCTTCTACAGGCTGTGGGTTTTGTGCTATATATTCAATATCCTGCCAATATATTGGGCCCCCACAACCTCCACACCTATGCTTCCAAAGGTAACACAAACAATACATAGTGATTTGCTTTTTCTTTTTTGCTTTCCCTCTTCCTAGGTGCTCAAAAATGTGATAATTTTTTGGAGAAGCGGCCTCTTCTTGGTGTGTGCAAAAGCATTGGATCTTCTGGGTAAGAATATTTTTCATTAATAAAGTTTTATATAGATTGTAATGTAGTCTTAAGAAAACCCAGTAGATTACATCTTTAAAGTGCTAATTTCTTTTTTTTTTGCTAGTGGGCTAACACTGTGACATGCCTTTAAAGTTGTTTGTTTTTTTCCAGTGTCTCAGCACACAGTTGCCTGTGAGTTAAACTTTTTAGAAGGAATAAAAATCCAGAGACTTTTGATATAAAACAGATGAAGAGGTATTTTGAGTTTATTTTGTTCTCAGTGTAATTTTATGATTAGCCTTTTCTGATAGTAACCCTGGTCAGAATTATTACTGAGAACTGTCTAAAATAATATCTAGGTCTTAAAAAGTAATGAAAAGATGCTTTCAAGCAGCAGTCGTACACCAAATGAATTACAAGCAACAAGCAATTTCATTGTTACAGACCCTCACTGTTTATTAGCAAAATACATCTTAAATCTACTTCTTTGAGTTAGGGGAAAAAAAAAGAAGACAGTTAACAGTCTTGTGCTCTCTGGACAGTATTGTTGTATCACCCCTCTTATGAAAGAGGGCCTTAAGATATTTTATGTCAGTTTGATATGTTGAATTAGACGATGCAAAAGGATTTGTATCTATACCTCCAGGAAAATACTTGCTTTCCAAGGTTAGTCCTCTACACAGCGATTCAAACGCTAAAGAGTTGAAGGAAACCTTCTTACAATGGTGAGACTAACTCTGTGCCACACCTCCTTCAGTTCAGAATTTAATCTCTCTGGTTGTGGAGGAAGACTATCAAGTCTCTGTAAATCTCTCTTCTCTATATTACTCTGGTGTTAAACTAGAATATTAACATTATGTGGCTTAAATCTTTACAACAAAGAGTGTAGGGTAGAGAAGTGCAATGTCTTTCTATTGGTGTGTTTGCCACTTGAAAAACCTTTTAGAGTGCCTTTTCTCCTTCCTCTTCCTGTAAGTATGTGTCATCTTGTGAAAAACCCAAATAAGAGTGCATGGAACCGGTGATGTGAATACTGCTCTTGTAGGACTTTCTGTCTTAATCCCAGCAGTGTGTTTGTATATGTAAAGGGTATGTTGGATGGAAGAAGCTTTCCTTCATACCTTTGCTTTAGGAGCGGAGATACCTGAGAATGGAACAAACCATAAGGATTGTTATTTTTGCTGTTATTGTATTCCCCAGTTTATGGGAAATATGTCCAAGAGTATTGGTACTTTCTGCTTTTCTACAAAACAAAAAAGCTCCTGTTTTTTTAAAATGAATGGCTAGGTTTGTTACTAATTATCAGTAGTTAAATATCTGCAAATAGAAGATTTTAAATGAGGCTTTCTGCTGTGACCAGAGGACTAGCTCATCATTAAGAAAAAGGAGGCTGTGCTACAGCCTCTTGTTTACCCATTTAATAAACAACCAGTTTGCTCGTGGCGGTAAGCCTTCAACAGAAAATTCTGTAACACTTTTTCTACGTTTCCTGCTTATTGCAATTTATTTTTCAAAGAGTCCTTGTAAGTTGCCTATTTGGTCAGTAGCTTTCAGGTTGAGTTCTTTGATAGTTTGCCCTCAACTGGAGGCACGCTCCTTTTATATTGGCTCAAGTATTGCGCTTGGTTTTCCTTCTGTTACGTTCACAGATAATTTGATTATATTTCTATAATGATGGTTACGCAGAAAGAAGAATATGTAGAACATTAAAATAGCTGTGTCACGAATGGTCTCTGAACCTGAATCTCAATTTCAGTTCTGTTCTGAACTTGAGGCTTAGTGCTTGACACTATTTCCTGTATATCTTAATGGTTGTGGACAGATAAAACACCTTGTTTCATCATGTATCTGAAGAAAATACTACATTTATTCTAGAAGATTTATTCCAAAGCACTTGATATTTTCACTGCAGTCTTCTCCTCACCTACTTTGGAGACTGTGCTGGCTCTGGCATGAAATACTGCAGCTGTCAGCACACTGCTGAAACTGTGCAGGGAATAGGAGGCCGATTCTGTCTCCTGCACTGCCAGGTAAAACAATCAGTGCAGTGATGTAGCACTGACATCGAGGTATTTCCCAGTTAACAGAAGGGTAAACTGAGTGTCTAAAAGGCAACTAGTCCAATGCAGATCCTTAAGTGAAATCAGAGTCTTCCAGCACACACTCTGTGATGCTGATACATTAAACTACACTGTCTTTTTTAGTATAAACTGAATGAGATTGGCCATGGTTATGACAATGGGGCCAACGTTCAAAACAGTTCTGCCAGGACAGCCCTCCCCCTACCCCAGTCTCCTTCTTCACTAGGACAAAGAGTTGTCTGGTTTTCAAAAGTGGAAAGTGCGATCTCCTGAAGTGATTCTAGCTTGCTGCCATTGAAATTTTACCCAGGTTCTTGTCTAAAATCTGTCAGAATCATTGGCGAAGGAGAATGATTCTGGGGAACAAAAAGTTTGACTTCTTCAGCCTTCATCATTTGGATTTTCCCTAGCAGTTCTTCATAATTTCTGGTTGCTCTGCTTGAATTTGCAGCAATTGTTACTCTTTTCCTGGAATGTCCCTGGTAATTTTGACATTTCTAGATGAGTGTTTGTTGTTATTAATACATAAGGGTCATACGTAACATTTTGGATGAGTTGGTGGCTGACACCATGACTTCATGCTGAAGAGTATGTTTTGGACCCTGCTGTATCTGGAGGCAATACTGTGATTTAAATTCTTTTCCATGGCAATACTTTATATAGAATCAATTTTGAGAAACTTTTCTAGAAAGTGCTTTGAAGTTACTAACTTTTTGGATGGAAGGAGAAGAAGAAATGCATTTTACACCTGACATGACAAAACCTCAGTAGGTTATTAACTCTAAATTACGGTTTAGGAGTTGCTCTCAGATATCACATGCTATTCTTGACTTTAAGAAAATGTGTTGGAGCTATTAATACTGTCCATAAACAGTTCTGCATGATAGATGAGTGATCATACTTATGAATATGTTGGTATGTTTTGTGATTTTATGGTCTTGTACATATGTACAAGTTTTAAGTATTAAAGATGCTAAACGATTAGAGTCGTACAAATCTGGTAGTATATAGTGGGTTTTTATCTAGATCCACTGCACTGTCATTTAATAGTATTTTATCTTTTAGGAGTCTATCAGTGAGATACTGACACATTCGAGTTAGGAGCTGGGATTTCCTGGTTCTGACCACTAGTCTGCATTAGTGGTTACCATCAGGAAATTATTTTCTTTTCCTTTAGCTGTAAAGTAAATATACTATAATGAGAGAAATATGATAAAATGGTATTATTTTTAATGTAGAACATTTGTCAATCTGGAATCCAAAGAGTTTTCAAGCAGTGATTAATTAATAACTTCAAAAATATTACTTATATTAAATAACTTCAGTACTTTGCTATCCCTCTGGTGTACCAGGGACTTTATTGGAAAGAAGTTAATGAATAATTTTGTCTGTGATACTGTTAGGACTTCTTTCCTTCAATACGAAACAAACATTGGTATAAAAGTACTTTATGCAGAGTGACATTTGCCGAAACCCAGTGTTTGGTTTTATGTTCTACTCTGGAGATCTTTTTCCTTGTCATTCACACAGTGAAAGATTTCTTTGGTAACTTAGAAATACAATCGTTTACCCCTGAGATTCCCTGTTTTACTGAATTATAGATTTTTGACAAGTCTAAAAGTGTCTTGTTAAATTTTAGTATGTCTCCCACAGATTTAACAACTTGGAAATTGACTTCCGGAAAACTTGGCCTGTGGGTTGCATCTCTTCTGTAATGTAACCTAATCCAATAGTCACTGATATAATCTATGCTGATAGAACAGTCCTTTGACAATCAGTATTATGGTCTTCAGTTTAATATTTCTTCATTTTAAGTCAGTTTGTGAGAGTCATGGTTGACAACTTGCTTTAAAAATTTATTGTATCTAAAATTTAAAAATTTACACTTCAAAATTGATTTCTGGCACCTGCTTTATGTACAAGTTCTGTAGAGATATTTGCCACTAATCTCAATCCTTGTGTTCAGCACAGTGACTGTTTGCCAGGGATGATGAAATTTGTGTTTTCTAAACTTTTGCCTTGACTAGTTTTTAGTACACATGTTCTAGTATTTTAAAAGTTAGATTTTCCATCTAGTAAAATGACTGAAATGTCTAGCATGGTTTCACTGTATAATCTTTTCAAAACAATAGTTTTCTCAGCCCCCAAAAAAGGATGCAGTCTTGACACATAAATGGGAAACAGATTGTGTTTTTTGGCTGATACTACTGTGCTGTTTTAGATGTTGGTTCAGTCAACTTCAGTCTTAGATTACAAGATTTGCAAATTAAAGGAAACCAAAAAGGAAAGAGCATCTGCATAAATTTTGTTGTTGTGGCATTTTGTAGAGGCATGCTTGCTTTGTTCTTGGCGATAAGATAAATCTTTATACACACACAAAACGAATTGATGGGGTTTGGTACGTACTAATGACTTTTCTAGGTAGTGAAACATCAGGATTAGTAATCTGCAAAGTGAACAGAGGACCCTTCCCCCTCCAAAAAATAAGAGTGGTAGTGGTGGGCACAGAACGGCATGGCAGAACCAGTCAGTGTGTACTGTTGGGAGCCACTCAGTTTAAAGGTAACTAGATAAGACCAACTGCGTTAAATGGAGGTGTGTTCCTGGTTTCCCCATCTGGATTGCTGAAACCATAGCTTGGAGCACACTGGACCTGTAGAACACCTTCAAGTACACCAGTGGGATCCAAGATACATTAGGCGTGCTTTTTGTTCTGCTCAAATGTAAACATAGTGATATCTTTTAAGTAAATGCTCCATTTTAGCTAATGGAGATGTTTTAAGAAGAAATTGGCCAGTACAATTTTGGTTTATTTTAGATTAAGAATGAAACCATGGTTTTGAGAGTGATTGCAGATCTGCCCTTCAGCAGATGATAGGGGTAACAAAAGAAAGCTAACAAAACAGAAGTGATCATGCCGGGGACAGGATGAAGTGT